CTTGTCCAAAATTACATGAAACAATTCTGTGTATTTTAAGTTTTGACAACATGCATGCACATACTTGAATTAAATAATCTCAAGTAGTTACTATTTTATTTGCTAAAAAGCTTAATATTTCCTAAATAGTAGATCTATCTAAATAGCATTCTGATTTATGTTTCACTCCAGCTTTTTTTCACACAACAAAGGAAGAAATTTTTCTGACCCACTGTGTTCAAATAAAACGAGAGCTTTTAGTTTCTCCAGTAGAAAAGGATGCTCAAAGATGCTTAATACCTAAGACATACTTCCTCCTTTCTTATCCTTTGGGATGGAAATAAATATAAGCTTCTAGGTTATGGATTGGGAGCCCAAAGGGCTCTTTATGTCTCAGCAGAGCTTCCAGGCACCTGGGAGACCCTCTGGCTGATGTGTAAGGCACCATTAAACCGCAAAGCCCTTAAATCAAGGCTCTGTTCTCCACACTGATCTGTGGAGACCGTGAAGACCTGTGTCTTCAGGGAAGGACGATCCTGCCAGCAGACACACTTGAAAGTAAAAAGACCATTCATTGTTCAGTAAGTGAAGTATTTCAGAGACAAATAATATCAACTTCTGTTTGGAAACCTAAGAATGTCCATTCAAGTAAATTGGTTGAATAATAAGCAACTTTCCATGGCAAAGGGATCAATAGGAATGGCTGGTGTTACTGAGTTTAGGACGTGTGAGATTTGGGAGTTAAATTGTTAGGAGAATCCTGAGTTTGGTAAGTGGTATGTTTTAAAGTTAGATGTTTGGCTTAATTTTGTCTTTGTTTTCTCCTAAATAATAATTATTGTAGTCATGATAATTTTAAAGAATATTTATTAATGGTTTATGTGTATATTGTGTTTACACAGCTAGCTAGATTTTAAATTCCCGAATTTTATGGCATGTCGACATTATACTAAGCTCTTATCTGTTTTCTGCTTAATCTTTCTAAACACACATTAAGATAGGTATGATTATTCATATTTAGACAACAAGGAATATTAGTCCTCAGAAAGGTAAATGACCTTCTGGATCATGTAAGCATGAAATGACAAAGCCAGTCATTAAACTGTAATAATTAAGTTTCTTCCATATGTTGTTTTAGTTCTTACCCATGTTTGAACCTCCAGCACTTAGGTTGGTACAAAGAAGGTTGTCACTAAAACCTCATAATTGATACAAGGTTGTACAACATAACATAACATAATGTAACTTCAAAGGGGAGGCAGGGAAAATAAAACTTTCCTTCTAATAGAGAATATAAGAATTGGTTAATGCTAGGTCTTTTCCTTGACCAAATAAGTAAATAAATAAAAATAATTAATAATAATAAAAGAATCAGGGATAATAAGTTGATATCAAGAAGATTATATTCAATTGGTTATTTGAAACTGAAATTATAGTAAAGCAAGAGATTTTATGGTGATAATTAAGATGGATGCATAATAGACATATATATGTGAATGAGTGTATTTATACATGTACTTATGTGAAAGTGCAGGATATTTTTGTAAAAACATGTGTTATGTGTTTTCAACCTGCCTCTACCCAGGGCATTTCCCATTTGTACATGTATAAGATTAGACCCTTTAGTAAGTCAAAGTTACAACCTTTAAAACATTTGTGTAAGAACATTACTTCTGGTTGGACTTTGAGAGGAAGAAAGCAAACATACATATATAATGCATTCATCCTTAATTAATTTTTCCTAAAATTTCCCTCCATTCTTCCTTCCCTATTTCCCTCCCTCCCTCCTTCTATTCCTTTCTTTCCTTCTTCTTCCCTCTGTATCACTATCATTTCATGTCTCTTGCTATCTCTGTTTCTCCTCTCTTTCCTTTATCCAACACATGATTAAACTGCTGTTTACTGATCTGGAATAGTCACATGATCGACTATGACCTTACTTATTTTTTTTTTTACAATTCTTTCAAATACATAAGTAATACATCAAAGAGATTTGATAGATATGGATAGACTGACATATATGTTTATCTAATTCATGTAACTTCTTTCAACAGTATGATTTTTAACAAAATCCATATAGGTTTTAATATGAAATCTTAGGCAATGAAAATAATGTAAAAATTTATTATTTTACAGAAATATTTTCATATTTCTTAACAATCCATTTTTTTTCTTAGTGAAGTTATTTTATAATGTCTACAATTTGTTAATGCATACATTTGTATTGAATATTATAAGCACTCTGAAACAAATGCTGATTGATAACTTATAAGCAGTGTGTTAATAAGTGCTTTTGTTCTATCTCATACAATCAATCCTCACAGCATCATTTAATGTAGTATTTTTATTGCAAATTTATTACAAAGGAAACTGGGATTTAGCGAAATCAAGCAACTTACCTCACACATACTTAATCAAGTCAAGTATTCAGTTATACAAAAACCATTTATCATAATACATGAGATTTCTCAGCAAAAATATCATTTACAGAAACAAAGAAGCTTGTTATCTCAAGTACTTGCAAGCTGGTTGGTAGGGCAGAAAAGTAATCAAAATTCAAAACTTTATGGGTGCAATGATAGAAGCATTAAAAGGTACCAAAGAAGAAAGTTTGTTAAATTCAATTTGTAAGGATTAGGGAATACTTTCTACAAAAGATAAAATTTAAATTAATTATTAAGACTGAGATGAAATTCACTAGCCATGTAAGAGGGAAGACCAAGTGATCCAGTCATAGAGCTCGGCTTGACCAAGGTATAAAGACATAAAATTATAATGTGTAAGAATAGAGCTCCAAGTATCTTCAGAATGACTGTAACAAAATACCTAGCTGAAGGAGGTCAGGTAATATCTGTGATGTGCTTAGAAATAGGCAGTGTCCAGATCATAAAAGCCCTATGGCTTGTAATAAGGAAGCAAAGGATGTCAAGTTTATTTCATAGTTTATGAGGAAATGTTGAAAGGAGTGCAATGTAGGAATATTGACATATTATGAAGTCACTATAAAAATGTATGAACAATGGATTTATGGAAAGATACTATAGGTAGAGCTTTCAGATAAGAAATTGCTATAGTATGTTTTAAAGCAGCAGTGATTAAGATGAAGAATACTGGTGAGATTCAATAATAATAGCCTTTAGTTAAACTGCATTTACTATAGTAAGACATTATTTTTGCTTATTTTTATTATTTTTAATTATTTCTTATTAGAAACTTAGACTAGACACTAAAATTCTCATTTTTCTAGAAGGGAAGTAGACACAGAGGGATACTTACCTAACCAATGACAAACTATGGTAGAGATAGAGCCAAATTCAAACCCAGGCAGTCCAGTTCATGACCCTGGTCTTTCTAGCTACAATATCAACAGTAAAATAAACAGGTATTACATACATGGTTGCCTCATCAATAATATTTCTGAAGAATACAAGAAAAAGTTGTAAGGGTTGGTACAGGTTAAATTAGCCTTATTCGTAGGGTATATATTTAAATTTCAAATTTGAATTTGAAGCATCTGGGGAGAGATACCTACAGGTCAGTCAAATATAAATTCAGGAAAGGTATCTGGGTTGAGGATGGAAATTTGGTAGTTAATTGAAGCTTGAGAAGTACTTTATTTGGCCAAAAATTTTATATGACTCAGAGAAGAAAAAGAGTTGCAGAGAAATAAACCACTGAGAAGCAGTGAGAAAAAGCATGCTTTTATAAAAAGAAAAGATTTAAATTTCTAGGGAAGAAGCTACATGAGGGAGTTAGAGCTTTTTGAAATGGAGAAAAAGTGAAAAAGACAGTGTTGGTAATGGTTGGAGAAGACATAGATCTTTCTCCTTTTTTTAGTGGGGTATGGGGACCATGTAGATCAGAGTCAAATAAGGGAATGTGTACAATGAAATAGCCTGGTACTCATCCTAGATATAATGAAATGTTGGTAATGGAGTCACATGACTTCACAAACTGTAGTGACATTTCCTTGATGAGTGAGTTGTAAGAAACAATTTAGGAAAGATACCTTAAGGAGATACAGTTTGATGAACTAAAGATTAAAAATAATTAAAAGCCATTCCACATACAAAACTTATTTTTTTTCTTTTGGTTAGCTTTATTGAGATATAACTTAACCAATAAAATATATAATTTTAATAGTCAATTTGATGATTTTTTAAAAAAGTGTGTGAAGTCATAAATTGGTACAGCAGCTATATTATGGAACATTTTCATTCTCAAAGTTAGATCCTTCCTGTTTGCAGGCAATCTCTTCACACACTTTCCTCTCTGAAACCTCAGATTAACTATCACTATGACTAATTTTTCTAGAATTTCATACAAAGGAGATCATATGGCATTTCATCTTTTGTATTTGCCTCCTTTCACATAGCATAAGTGATCCATTCATGCTGTTGCATCTACCAGTAATTTCCTCCTTTTTAATTTAAATTACCTCACCCACCACAGTTTGTTTATTCATTCAGTAATGGACCCATGCTTGGTTGCTTTCCAGGTATTTTTGACCATGAATAAAGCTGCTATTAATAAATGTGTATGAGTCTTGTGCGTATACGTTGTTATTTTTCTTGGCAAATTCATAAGAGCAAAATCGCTGGGTAATGTGTACCTTTATGCTGCCAAACTGTTTTCCAAAGGGGCTGTGCCATTTGCATTATTCCATCAGCAATGTGTGAGAGTTCCAGTTGTTCCACACCCTCATCAACACATGGACTTCCCAGTCACTTCTTAATTCTGGCTATTATAATAGTATCTTATTGTATTTCTCATTTACATTTACCTAATAAATACTGATGCTGAGCATCTTTTCGTTTGGTCAGTTGCCATCCAGATATCAAAAGAAATCATTAGAAAGTTAAACATGTAAACTCAATTTTGAGTTCTCCATATCTTAATTTTATAATTCCGTGCCCTCATGATGTATTCTGGTTAAATTTGCTCTTCAACTTTCCTAAGACACAATTGCTCTGTTATAGGTCTGCAAACGTCCTGAACTGCAGCGCCGCCTACGTTTTAGCATGTTTACCACATTTGCTTTTAATACCACCGTCTCTAAGCGACCCACCTTCTCCTTCATTGGTATTCCTGGTCTGGAGGCCGCAAATATATGGATCTCTATCCCCTTCTGTCTCCTGTACTTTGTAGCCCTAGTGGGTAATACTCTTCTGCTCATCTTAGTTAGAGCAGAACGGAATCTTCATGAACCTCAGTTCTACTTCTTGGCCATGCTCGCCCTTACTGACCTCGGGCTCTCACTGTCCACGATGCCTAGTGTCTTGGCTATCTTCTGGTTTGATGTCCGCCACATTGGCCTGGACGCCTGCCTAGCCCAAATGTTCTTCATCCACACCCTCTCCTCCGTAGAATCGGGTGTCCTCGTGGCCATGGCTTTTGACCGGTTGGTAGCTATCTGTGCTCCCCTAAACTACACCAGGATCCTGACCCACTGTACAGTTGGCTGCCTAACTGGAGCTGCCCTCATACGAGGGGCCACCCTGCTGGCCCCTTTGCCTTTCTTCCTCAGGACCTTTCCTTTCTGTGGGGCCAATATTCTCTCCCACTCTTACTGCTACTACCCAGACATGCTGAACCTGGCCTGCGGGGACATCACGTTCAGCAGTGCCTATGGACTGGCTTTCGTACTCGGCACATTTGCAGTGGATGTGGTCTTCATCCTGGCTTCCTACATGAAGATTCTGGGCACAATTATGAAGCTGGGGACTCAGGACAGAAACTGGAGACCACTGCATACTTGTGCCTGTCACCTGTCCACCGTGATCATATTTTACCTGCCCCTCATCAGCTTGGCTGTGCTGCATCGTTACACCCAGGACACTTCCCCAGTTCTGTATACCACCATGAGTAATGCCTACCTCCTCATGACACCACTGCTCAACCCTCTCGTCTACAGTCTCAAATCCCGGCAGATCCAGGCAGCCCTACACAAGCGATTTTGGGTGCAACGTGTCATTGCTGGGGAATGATATTTTTTCTCTATCAGAAGGGATAACCAATTTAAAAATCCTGTTTAAGATTTACTACATGCCAAGTATGTAGCACCATGAATGCAAAAATAAAAAATACTCAGGTCTTCCTCTCAAGAAGCACCTAATCTAATTAAGGAGGGAAAGTATGGCAGAATGCTTTAGAAAAGGATCATATGATCCTGAATGATGATTGTTTGGTATTGGTAAACAGAAAAGGCAACAGGAATCCAGGCTCAGTGTTTTTGGTATATGAGTTGGATGCAAATTACAGTGACATCTGCCACATCGGCCTGAACGCTGCTTAACCCAAATGTTCCTTTTGGTTCCAGCTGCTAAATTGAGAAGTCTGACTCTGGACTGTGAAAGAACAATGAAGGGCTGATTTTATAAAGAAAGCAAGATATCATCTGGCTCTTGACTGCCAATGTTGTTTAAGTCAAGGTATTAAAATTCAAAATTGAGGATAAATTCATGAATGCATGTTTAATATTTCTGACCATTTCTTGGATAATGGTCTGAACATTCTGACTTTTAACAAAATAGAGCTGTATGAAAAGAAATAATATATAATGATCTGAGAAATGTTTATTCTTATTCATCTTGCTTCTACTTTCAGAATTTACACTTTATTTAGATTTTGTTTTGTTTCCCATTTCATACTGAGAATAGACTGGGTTATTATACTCTGACTCTGACACAAGGATGCATCTCCTTTCTCTAACTTTCCAAGAGGAAAAAGAAATTCGTTTATTCTTTCCTAGGGTCAACTTTTGACGTTAGAGTCTTAAAGCAAATGAAGAATTATCCTGCTGGATCATTGCCCATTAAAGAAAGAGACTTAACTGCCCTTGACAATAAATAAACATGGTAACACAGGAATAATTTCAAGCTACTTAAGAAAATTTTAAATGAGTTTCTAAATAAGAGCTCAAGTAATCAATCAGAAAATATGTTTAATGTCTTTCTGACACATTTAGGAGGCATCAGAGTCATACTATTTATATAGCTTACATTCTATTACTGGAAATGGTAGACCACCATCAAACCACATTATAGAATGTGATTATTGAAGGCAGGGCTTGGTTTGAATAGTTATATGAATTAAGAGGAAAGTAAGCAAAAGAGGCCTGGGTTTGTTGGGAACTTCTGCCTGAAGACTTAGAAGATCATGAGGAGAAAGATCATGGAAGCTTGTGCTCGATCCCAGTTCCAGAAGCATTCCGTAAGCTGTGGTCTGTTAGGTATTAACAGGAGAGAGGGAGTTATAAAAAGAAACAATTGGTTGTTGCCTTACTAAGAGATCATTTAAGAAGCATAATAAACACCCTCAAAAAGTAAAATTCTGATTATTAAAACACTTTCCATTTTTTAAGGTCCAATTTAACCATTTTCTTTATTGTGAGTCTTCCTGGTCAAAAGCCTCTTAACTCTGACTTCCTTCCCTAAGCATGAGTATAGAGTACCAGGGACCATTTCTCATCAATCTTTCCATTTTTTGAAGATGGCGATAATTCTCTTTTGAGGAACTCCTTATCTCTTTGTACAGTTTGGGTAAGACTAATAATATAAAAATTCTAATGAAGCCCTCCCTTTATCCTTCAGCTGTGAAGATTAAGAACTGAAGGAAAAAAATTATCCCCCTTTATATGTTAGACTAGAGACAGTGTGAAGATTCTCCTCTCTATTTGGAGCATTGGAAGAACATCAAACCTCCTGTGGTCATCACCTTCCCTAATTATGTGAGAGAAATGGTTATCTGCATTAGTAGAAAATGAGTACAAACAAAATAGCAGGTATGAGAAACTTTCAGAGGGAAAAAGTGACATGACAGTATTGAGTCCTGAAGCTTGGGTCTCTGAGATCCTTCCTTTGAATCTGTGTTCTATTCCGATATTTTGGTTTACATTTCTTTACTGATGAATTAAATAATGAATCAACTTAATGGCATGTTCTATCTGCTATGTGCTGAATTGGACCATTTATTTGATTCTGTTTTGATTTATTCCTGTCTTTCTCACTTACTTGATTGTAATTTCCTAAGTGGTGACATTTTTGTCTGATTCATCTGTCTCTTAAAGTGCCTTAAAGTGCATATAGTGAAAGCCAAGAATAGTTGTGCAGAAATGTAAAATATGGGGGGGTGCAAATGACAAAAGGTAAAAAATCAGAAGGATTATATATGATTATTGAATCAGTATGTTAATGAATAATGAATTAATTTCCACATAACTCAGTTAAAAATGATGTAATAATGTCTGACTTCCACTCTGTTGTAGTTAATTTAGAAGCATTATTAATATATATAAAGATGTTGATACCTGTTCCTGATATGCAATGACAATATTGATCAGATAAATATGGTAAATAATACACACAAATACAAAATATGTCAACCTAGTCTGAACCTTTTTACACTTTTGTAAATACATACATTTTATGATAAATGTATAAAAGTGGAATCTAAATGTGTCTTTGCACTGGAGAACAATTATTCTCTGGTCACCTTTGATATAATCAACTGAGTGACAGAAGCCTTTATTCTTTTACATTTTTCTTTAAATTCTGGCTTGACCCTTGTCCTCTACCATATTTCTGGCTTGTAACATAATGATTAATATTTATTGAACATTTACTATATGCCAGATATTGTTATAAACACATTATATCAATTATCCATTCCTTATTACACTCTTTGAAAGTGGACATCATGGTTAATCTCTCTTCACTGTTGGGAACATTAAGACACAGAGAGCCTGTGTCACTTTGTCCTTGGATACATAGCAGATAAGTTACAAAGTCCTAATTTCAGCTTAATCAGCATATACTTATCTTCAACTAGATGTGAAGTCCAATTTAATACAATTGAGGAAATACATTACACAGATGGCAAATTTTAGGTATACTGCTCTATTATATTTTTGCTTTAATCTCTCACTGAAGTTTTGTGTTACATGAGGCTTAGATTGGGATGGTTTCAGAAAAAGGATCATAAAACATAAACAAATTTAAATAACATTGTGAAATAAACACTCTTCTCTTATTCAGAATATTTCCCTCTACAGTACCTCAAAATTCCCAAAGACAATAATTGTCTATATAACCACACAAATATTTTAAGTCACATTTGAGCCATATAAATACATATGAGGGATTCTCATATCGAAAATATTTGTAGGACTGTATGTACTGCAATGCAGCTGAGAGGTAAGTAATGTGAGCTGTAGAAATGAGAAACACAAAGTGAAGGTAGAAGTGGCTTTAGGAACACCTTTCCTGATCTAGTATTTTAAACTAGAAGAAGATTTTATACTTCTAGAAAGATTGTAGTAAAACCATACAGAGATGTCCCAAAAGAAGTACCTTAGCATACAGGAAAAGAATATCTGTTCATCCTTCTTGTTTTCAGTAACATTCAATCAGTTCCTCAAAGGGCTCCCACTCTGCTATTTTAAGTGTGAACAGTCTACACAGCGTACTTATAATTTGTTTTGTTTTCAACACTGTTGAGGACAGGTGTGAGGAAAAGGAGGATGTTGGATGTTGTGACATGGGGAAGAGGAGAATGGTACCTCCTATCCTGTGGATCAGGGCTAAGGCAATAAGTGGGACATAGAGAATAAAGGCAGTGACAATAAGGGAGATTCATATGACTGCCTTAGGCTGATTCCTCCCTGCAGCAATGTCCAGAACGATCTTCAGGATCAAAGCATATTACAGAACAATAAAGATAGAGCCAACTCTAAAGGAGCAGAGAACCAAGGCCAGCCCACAGATGATGTTCACAAGAACAGACCCACAGCTGACTTCATCACATCAGGGTGGAAGCACACAAATGGCATATGATGATGTTCTTACAGAAGGGAAGCTGTTTGAGCAGGATGAGCAAAGGGGCCATTAGTGCCACTCCTGGAGCCACAGCAGCTGATCCCCTCTGAGTAATGCAGGATTGGGTCAGGACTACAGTGTAGTGCAGTAGGTTGCATATGGTCATAAAGTAGTGAAAGGCCATGGCCAGAAGGATGGCTGACTCCATGGAAGAGAAGGTGTGGATGAAGAACATCTGAGCCAGGCAACAGTGGAGTGCAATCTCTTGGTGTCTGAGAAGAAAGACATGAAGTACAGTAGGCAGTGAGGATGCTAACATGCCTATGTCAGTGGCTGCCAAAATGGACAAGAATGTATACTGAAGCTCATGAGGGCTGGGATTCTTTTGTATTATGTGAATTATGGCTGTTCACCACACTGGCAATCAGTACAAGATGCTCAATGGGACAGAGATCCAGATATGAGATTCCTTCAGAAATGGGATTCCTGAAAGAAGGAAAAAAGGTGGTTAATAGTGGGTGCCATTGAACATAGACATGATGGTTAAACCTAAAAATGACAACCTGTTTAGGCAAGTCAAACACTAAAGTTAATTCAAGTTTATTCAGTGACTGAAGAGAAAGTCTAGAGGCAGAAGCAAACTAAGTATTGTTGCATGCAGAGAAAAGTCAATAGGGCTAAATTCAGTTTAATAAAAAAGCCTACATAGATAATTTTTAGGTGATTTATAACTGCTCTCATCGGGGCAATTTTGTTGATGCAATGGTAGCCCACAAATACACTACTAGCATAAACTATAGCCAAGGACTCTGAACAGAAACGCTGATAGAACAAATTAAGATTCACAAAGCATGTGGTTAATGTAGTCAATTTAAAACATACAGTAAGAAACAGGAGGAGAGAGATGGGTTGGTTAACACAATTAAAATAGTGTGCAAATGGGGCAGAAGGCCCACAGTATATGATGCGGGATTATGCAGTATTCATATGGTCTGTTTCTCTCTGCTGGTGTTAGAAAGACTAGAGGTGAGATTTGACCAAGGGGATCCAGCAGATGGAAGGCACCCAGAGCCAACACTTACACTTACCTCTCTCAGGCACATGGTATGCATGGCCAAAGCTCTAACTCACCAGGAAGTCTGCTGAGCATCTATGAGGAACCAGTATGAAAT